GACAATAGATGCATTACTTTTAAAACTTCTGTAAAAAATGATAGGCAGAGTCTCTCGTATTTTTCTGTCAGATTGAAAATAGAGAGAAATCGTCCATAGCCTACAGAAATCGAAAGCAAATCACGGATGCCTGAATCTGCATGTGTGTTTTATACAATAAGAGTAAAAATTGTCAGTTGCTTTTTCAACAGCTGGTAGGGAAGATCATTCATTGCCTTCAGTGAAGCCTTTGGAAGGACTAGTCAAACATACGATAATGAAGGGCATTCAGACTTGTAAAATGTATGATACTGTTTACGAAGTGCACTGCTTCTAAAAAGTTTCATTGCAGGTATTTTGGTACTTTCAACAGTTTCTTTTTTCGCTTTAGAATAGGAAGTCTACCTGCATTCATAAAAACCAAATATATTACTTATGCTAGAGTTACTGTATAGCTGAAAACACTAATTGCAAGTAACATTGGCCCTGCCAATAAATTATCACTGTAAAATTCCCATTGTATGCATGCATGTGCATATATGTATATGTCCTTCTCTCTGACAGATTTATTTATGTTTGTTTTTCTTCGAATAATATTACTGTTGATAATTCTTTCCCCAAAATTAGGAAAATATTATCAGGTATGTTTGCTTCAAGGTTGAGTAATATTACTTCTATGCATTGTACAGAGTCCTTAATTTAATAGCTAGAACAAATGTGATGAAAGTCGAGACTAAGTATTACATTAAGCAGAAAGTATATCACATGACAGAAGCCATAGAGTGGAGAAAATGCACTTGAAATAAGGTCTAGATAGAATTTTACCACTTAGAATTGGGATTGCCTTTTTTGTGTGTTAAGTCATTTTACCAGAGAAGACACTCTGTTCTGCTATTTCTGTGGCCATCTTCTTCTCAGATTCAGAACTCTGCCTTCCATGTAGCTCTGCAGGGAGGTCTCCCTGCTCCATCTTTCTAGAGTCCCTTTCCCCCACACACCATGTTTATCATCCTCTATTTCAGCACCATCTTTCCTCTTTGCTCTTTTTCTGCCAGATTACCATTTTTCATTGATTTCATTGTGTATTTATTCATCTGTTATCATGAACTCTCCTCTGTTGAAAGTTCCATGAAGTCAGTGTTGTGTTAGTTGTGAAATGTAGCCCTGAAGCCTTAGACGCTAGGAAGGGCTTGATGTACAGTGGTTGCTAACTGTTCACTGATAATGTCCAACATAAGTAAGTAAACATAAACATGGAGTACAGAAGCTCCTAAGGGAAGCAATAAAACACTCATCAGTGGTAGAAAAACTCAAAAGGTTTGTTCTCAAAGAAAATAACTGAAAGTAACCGTTTTTTTTGTGGAGTAAAATTAATGCTCTATGCTTGCATGTGTCACCTTGTAAGTAAGTAGGGGGCTCAAGTTTATACAAAAAAATGATTGCATTGATGGCTTCTCTTCATTCACTCTTATCAGTCCTACATGTGGTTTTTCATGAGTGTTCTCATTATTAGTGTCAGTGAAGTATTTAGCATTACCCAAGAAGAACACCCGAAACAAGAGTGTATTGTTTATTTTGTGACCTCTCTGCTGGTGATAGTCTTTGCAGAGCTATAAATTGCCTGGAAATAAAATGTGCTCATTGCATATTTCTCCTTTATCAAGTACTTAAAAATGTATGCAGATGGAAGGGCAACCCTGAAATTGCTTCCTTATAATCTGATAATGCAAGGATGATTCATTATAATTGTTCTTAAAGGTGTTAAACACCAGCGTAATCCCAGAGCTTGCATCTGTGTTGTGCACCCACATGCAAGACATGTGAGAGAGGAGAAAAATACCATCTTGGCTTTTGACGGTCATCTAGGCAAAACCTACTGCATTTTCGTGTCCTTTTGTAAAGTTGTTGTGTTTTACTTAAACAACTTCAACAGTCGTTGATTAACTTCTTGCCTTTGTCAGACCCTGGGAAATCCCATACAGTCATACCTTACGTGGACACAATGGCATTTAGACAATATTGGTTTCCTTTCTTTAGAGTTTATTGCTAAATGTAATAAGGCAAGCCAAATGTGTTCCTCTGGGAAGGTGTTATTTCAAGTTATTTTATGTTCTTTTTGAGGCTTGAAAGGCTAACATCCCACTCATGGCGAATGTTA